AATTATGATATTCTTGATGATTAATTGGGGTTTTGATGATTACGTGTTGTTCTTGATGATTATGATGTTTTGATGATTAATTGGTATCCTTGATGACTATGTGTTGTTCCTACCGAATCTTGCAATAAGAAGACGAATTGTATTCTTCTTGATATAAAAGTGATTAGAACCCTAGGTTGTATCGTATGATATTATTCTTGGATTATCGGGTGGGGAAATCGCATGTTTGGGTGTTGATTATGATTAGAAAAGCATGATAGGTTATGTGCCGTTCGTTTACCGTATTTGATCCGTTAATTGTCTATGTGTTGTCGTTAATTACGTTGAAAAGTGTCTAAGCATGGTTTCGGGTTCCACATCGGTTCCCGGGGCGAAAAGTGATGAAAAGAGTCAGTGGGGGGTAGGTGGGGGTAGGGGACCCGCCACCTACCCGCGGCGTTCACGGGCAGCTCCGGCAGCGGGCAGCCGGCGGGCGGGCAGCTGCCCGCCGGGCACCCGCTGCCCGGAACAGCGTTACCGGCGGGCAGCCGGCGGGTGGACCCCCCACCCATCGGCTACCCGCTGGAATCTTCCCCCCTCGGGACCCCGGCTTCCCCGTTTGATGTTTCCCCGATCCCTGTGGTGTCCCAACGGACCCCGTTTGTCGTGCCTATGTCTAGTTTGATATTTCGGGTACCGTCCGTAGGTTTATGAGTCTATTATATTGCATGCTAGTTGAATTGGTATCCCGTTGACCTAGGTGGAAGAAGTATGAACCCCTTAGGACTATTCTTAGTACGTGATGGATCACGCATAAGGTTGTTATACGCTTTATCCCCCTTCCCAATGTGTAATGTGGGCTGCATGTGCTTGCTATGTGTTATGTGTGCGTTTTACCCCAATTCGGTTGCGATCGGATTGGTTATCCTGAGCTGCGGTTCAGAAGCCGGCTATGGTCAGATGGGAATTCCTGGCTGTAGTCGGATGACGGTATCCTGGGCTGCGGTCCAGAAGCTGGTTGTAGTCAGATGGGAATTCCTGGCTGCAATCAGGTGACATCTTTCCTGAGCTGCGGTTCAGAGGCTGGCTGTAGTCAGATGGGAATTCCTGGCTACAGTCAGACGACATGCTCTCTTGGGCTGCGGTCCACTGTTTGGTTGCGATCAAACATTATGATGAGCTGCGGTTCATCGGTCGGTTGCGATCGACACCTCCGTGTTGCGATACGGGGCAGGGTGCTGCGGGGCCGTGTCAGAGCTATATGCGCTGACCCTCATGTATGGGCATGCGATTGGTCCTGTGGCGCCAACAAAGTGTGTTATGTGTTGTGATATGGATGAGTTGTGATTATGAGTGTCTTGGGGAATGTGACTATGGGATTTATATTGGGGATTATTCATGTTGGGTTATGATCATTGTTTATGCTTTGCCTTATTTGCCTTATCTGTTATGAACTGCTTATGACTGTTATAACTGTTGCTTGTGTCTGGCCTTATCTGTCGAGTCATCCCCGGTTTTAAAGCTAGAGTTCGTAGGATATATCTTCATGCTCAAAATGGTTTTTGTATATCTATATATATATTGCTATACGTATTGTATTTCAACGCGTTGGAGTGGGTTACCAGCATCTCTCGCTGAACAGATATATTTGACTTTCAGGCACAGAGGATTAGAGCACTGGAGCGCGCTAGAATTGGAGCGTAGAAGTAGTATAGTTTCCCTTTCGGCCTGCGTGCCATGTTATGCATTCATGTTTTCGGAGGATAGTAGTTAGACAGCCTGTGCACCTGGGTTCTCTAGCCCCGGTGTGGCATAGCACCCCGTACACTTATGTTACGCTCTGGGATTTAATGAGATGTTACCTTTATTATTAAGTTTTAAATGTCTTGAAAATCAGGGGTGTTACAGCAGCATAAAACTAAAGGGATTCTGGATTATGTGCATTATGATGTTTGGGGACCTACCAGGGAACCTTCAATGGGTGGCTCTTGATATTATGTTACATTTACTGACGATTTTTCTAGGAAAGTCTGGGGGTATTTCTTGAAACATAGATCTAAAGTGTTTGAGAAATTTAAGTTGTGGAAAGCTGAGGTTGAGAACCAGACTGGAAGAAAAATCAAGTACTTGAGGTCTGACAACGGGACAGAATATACTGAGAAAGAATTCAGAAATTCTATGCAGAACATGGAATTCAAAGGCACTATACAGTGCGTAAGACACCACAACAGAATGGTGTTGCTGAGCGGCTGAATAGAACCATTGCTGAGAGAGCAAGGTGTCTCAGATTAAATGTTGGGCTCTCTAAGTGTTTTTGGGCAGAAGCAGTGAACATGGCATGTTACTTGATCAATAGATCACCACGGACATCACTTGGTGGCAAGGTTCTAGAGGAGGTTTGGTTAGGTAATCCAGTAAGTTTTGATCACTTACAAATTTTTGGTTGTCCTAGCTATGTTCTTATTCCAGGTGATGAGAGATCAAAGTTAGATCCCAAGTCAAAGATGTGCATCTTTTTGGGTTACAAGAAAGGTGTAAAAGGATATAAGTTTTGGGATCCTGCAACCAAAAAGGTGGTGATTAGCAGAGATGCAGTGTTTGATGATAATTTCATGTTCCAGCAAAAGAAAGAAGATACACTAGTTGATGGTTCTAGCACAGTAGAAGTGGATGTAGATCGTGTACCTTTGAGTGAGAAAGTAGTTAATCCACCTACGATTGAGACTCGAGAAGTTGCAGATTCTACATCTGCAGCAAGTTCGAGTTCAGAAAATTTACAAGATTACAGTTTGGCTAGAGATAGACCGAGACGCACCAATGTCAAACCACCTAGTAGGTATGGGTTTGAGGATATGGTTTCTTTTGCACTTCTTGTTTCTAATAATGATCCAGTTACCTTTCAAGAGGCTATTTCTAGCCAGGAGAAAGATAAATGGATGGCAGGTATGATTGAGGAGATGGAGTCTTTACATTAGAATCATACTTGGGAGTTAGCTCAACTTCCTTAAGGAAAGAAGGCTATAGGGTCCAAGTGGGTCTATAGGAAGAAGCCACCAATATCAGAAAAAAGAAGGGGAAAGGTTTAAGGCTAGGTTAGTTGCGAAGGGGTTTTCTCAACAGAAGGGGATAGAATGATAGATTATGATGAGGTTTTCTCTCCTGTTGTTAGATATACTTCTATCAGATTAGTACTTTCTTTGGTAGCCATTTGGGATTTGCATTTGGAACAAATGGATGTGAAAACTGCTTTTCTACATGGTGATCTAGATGAACAAATTTACATGAAGCAACCTGAAGGGTTTGTTAAACCCGGAGGTGAGCATCTGGTTTGTCGACTCAAGAGGTCTTTGTATGGGCTGAAACAGGCTCTACGACAGTGGTACAAGCGGTTCGATGCTTACATGATTCCAATTGACTATACACGTTGTGAGTATGATTGTTGTGTCTATGTTAAAAGCCTTGGTGATGGTTCTTTTATTTTTCTGTTACTGTATGTGGATGATATGTTGATTGCTGCTAAGAGTATGAATGATATTACTGCATTGAAAGTGTTGTTGGGTCAGGAATTTGATATGAAGGACTTAGGAGTTGCACAGAAAATTCTTGGCATGGAAATTCACAGGGATAGAGGTGCAAGAAAGTTGTGGCTAACTCAACAGAGTTATATAGAGAAAATTCTTGACAGGTTTGGGATGAGTAAGTCTAAACCGGTTAGTACCCCTTTGGCTAACCATTTTAAACTCTCATCTAGTCGGTGTCCTCAAACAGTTAGTGAGATTGAAAATATGGCAAAGGTTCCTTATGCTAGTGCAGTTGGCTGTTTAATGTATGTAATGGTTTGTACTCGACCTGATTTGGCTCATGCTGTTAGCCAAGTTAGTAAGTACATGTCTAAACCTGGGAAGCAGCATTGGGAGGCAGTTAAATGGACTCTTCGGTACTTAAGGGGCACTATGAAGCATGGTATTGTATTTGGGAGTCAACAGAATGAGCATGTACTCATGGGATATGTGGATTCTGATTATGCTGGTGACATGGATAATAGACGTTCTACAACAGGGTATGTTTTTACTCTTGGGGGTGGTCCTATTTGCTGGAGATCATCAGTTCAGTCTATTGTAGCTTTGTCTACAACTGAAGCAGAATACATGGCTGTGACTGAGGCAGCTAAAGACGCTTTGTGGCTTTCAGGTTTGATTAAGGAGTTGGGTATTGATCAAGATGGAGTTCAATTACACTGTGACAATCAAAGTGCCATTTTCTTAGCTAAAAATCAAGTATACCATGCCATAACCAAACATATTGATGTAAGGTTGCATAAGGTCAGAGAGTTGGTTGTTTCTGGTGAGATTTTGTTGCAGAAAATTCATACAAGTGAGAATGCAGCAGACATGTTGACAAAGGCAGTTACTAGTGACAAGTTCAAACATTGTTTGGACTTTTTGGGTGTTTCCAGATGTTAAATGAACATGGTGGTCCTAATCCAGGGAGGCTATGAGATGAGTTTTTTCTCCTAAAGGGCTTATTTGCGAAGGTGGAGATGGTTAGATAAGTATTTTCTCCTAAAGGGCATATTCGCCAAGGTGGAGATTTGTTGAGTTATCTTTTCTCCTAGAGAACATATTCGCCAAGGTGGAGATTTGTTGTGTTTGTCTCATATAAGGATTAGGAATATGAGTTTGTCTCATATAAGGAATAGGAGTGAAAGGGAGATTATATGCCTATAAATATATTGAATGTATCTCATCACCTGGATCACCATCACAAATAATATGAGAATACTTTCACTCCCGTGGATGTAGGCACATTGCCAAACCACGTAAATCTTGTATTCTTTACTTTCAGCCATTATTATTTTTCTTGTTCGAAATTTGTGTAACCTAAGCAAGATTGATTTAACTTGCAGCAATGTAGAGGAGTTACCTAATTCAATTTGCTATTTGGATAACTTGGAAATTATATACCTTAGAGGATGTCAGTGTCTTTCTAGATTACCTGAAGGGATTGGAAATTTGAATCACCTAAGCGAGATTGATTTAAGTGTAAGCAAAATAGAGGAGTTACCTGATTCAATTTGCTCTTTGAATAACTTGCAAACTCTAAATCTTTATAGATGTGAGCGTCTTTCTAGATTACCTGAAGGGATTGGACATTTGCGTCACCTACGCGAGATTAATTTAAGTGAGAGCAAAGTAGATGACTTACCCGATTCAATTTGCTCTTTGGATAACTTGGAAATTCTAAACTTTCGAGAATGTAAGTGTCTTTCTAGACTTCCTGAAGGGATTGGAAATTTGCATCACCTAAGCAAGATTGATTTAAGTTGGAGCAAAGTAGAGGAGTTACCTGATTCAATTTGCTATTTGGATAACTTGCAAACTGTAAATCTTTGGGGGTGTAAGTGTCTTTCTAGACTACCTGAAGGGATTGGAAATTTGTGTCAATTAAGGTTGATTGATCTAACTATGACCGGAGTAGAGGAGTTACCTGATTCAATTTGCTCTTTGGATAATTTGAAGACTCTAAATCTTCAAAGATGTGAGTGTCTTTCTAGACTACCTGAAGGGATTGGAAATTTGCATCACCTCAGCGAGATTGATTTAAGTGAGAGCAAAGTAGAGGAGTTACCTGATTCAATTTGCTCTTTGAATAATTTGCAAACTCTAAATCTTTATGGATGTGAGCGTCTTTCTAGACTACCTGAAGGGATTGGAAATTTGCGTCACCTACGCGAGATTTGTTTAAGTGAGTGCAAAGTAGAGGAGTTACCTGATTCAATTTGCTCTTTGGATAACTTGGAAATTCTAGTCCTCCAAGGATGTGAGTGTCTTTCTAGACTTCCTGAAGGGATCGGAAATTTGCATCACCTAAGCGAGATTGATTTAACGGGTTCCAAAGTAGAGGAGTTACCTTATTCAATTTGCTCTTTGGATAACTTGCAAGTTCTAGTTCTTGACGATTGTGAGTGTCTTTCTAAACTAACTGAAGGGATTGGAAATTTGCGTCAATTAAGGTGGATTTCTTTAAGAGGCTGCAAAAAAGTAGTGGAGTTATCGGATTCAATTTGCTCTTTGGATTACTTGGAAAGTATAAATCTGGAAAGATGTGAGTGTCTTTCTAGACTCCCTGAACGGATCGGAAATTTGCGTTGCCTTAGGATGATTGATTTAAGTAGGAGCAAAGTTGAGGAGTTACCTGATTCAATTTGCTCTTTGAATAACTTGCAAACTCTAGATCTTAAAGGATGTGAATGTCTTTCTAGACTCCCTGAAGGTATTGAAAATTTCCATCAGTTATGGTTGACTGATTTAAGAGGGTGTAAAGTAGAGTTACCTGATTCAATTAACTCCTTGAACAACTTGGAAATTCGAGTTGGCGAACGGGGCGATCTATCTGAATAATGCAGCACTTTGAGGGGCCAGCAAACACACACATTAATGGAGGCGCCGGCGGTGTTGCTCCCTCGCTGGCTGCATGCATGCCCTCATGTAAACTTCTACTACTGTACCATTATATTATATTGTTTCCTCAACACATTCATTTCTTCATCATTTAATTTTTTTATGCACTTCTACTCTGCATTGCATTCATGGATCTGATCTATATATTTATATAAATCATTTTCAACACATTATTGGTTAACAAACTGTGAATTGAAGCTACCCATTCTTGCTTTGCTTAGCTTCAAGTTTGTATGTGCAGGCGACTTATTTATGGTTTGATCTTGACAGGGTTTTGTAGAATATTATTCTTCTTTTTCAAATGACATCCAAACCATCACTCAATTGAAGTGTGTATGTTGCTTACACACAGAATATTTTAAGCTGTTGCAATACACAACATGCTGCTATTCTGATCTTTTACAAAACTTGCAGTGTATAGCTTTTATATCATCTTCTAACAACGTTTTATTTTATTTATATAGATATGGCAGCTTAGCTTAAAAGAAATAGAGAGAGTAAATCACAATCTGGCATGTCTCAAAAGAGTTTTACTATATGTACTCCCTAATCTTATTTCCTAAATTTTACTTCTTAATGTGGCGAGTTCTGATAAGCTATTTTTTTCATGTGGGTCCCAATACAAATGGCTAGATCAAGAGTTTTGTTGTGGAGTACAAGCTGAGAGTACAAAATGAGAGTACACATAGCATTTTCCATCTCAAAAACACCATCATTATATTATTGCATGCATTAATTGAAGGCTCGGACGAAGCAAGTACACATGTTAGGGAAACACTGCGTAATAATGAAGTCCCTAGGCAATTGGTAGATCATTCCTTCCTTCCTTCATTCCTTGTTACTTTATTTGTCAAACATTACATTATTTTTTGTCGTAAATAACGTTGATGTCTAAATATATTGTCATTTTGAAATTTAGTATGTATATTTGATAAGTGTTAATTCTTAGTATTTTTATGTGCATAATTAATATCAAACTCATATGATTTCGTGTTAATTGGAAGCTAAGTCACTTTGCACATGAATTCTTTGAAGGGCTTACATATATAGAATTTTGATAATGTAGCTGAGTATTTGGGAGAATCTGCGAGTTTCGGTTCACCAGGACCTTTTGGGAGCGTTATGCCATGGAACCGTGTTTACCATTCATGGTGAACACGGTTCCAACGGTGGTAGTACACCGTTATCTTTTTTTTTTTTTTTTCTTAATTAATTGCGTGACTTTTCTTCTTCATTTTCACATTTTGCGGTTTCACTTTAATTTGAGGTGAACAATGATTTCGGACATTCATAAATTATGAATTCATGTCTGCACATTCACTTTGGAACCATGCCTACACATTCCCGTCCGAAATCACGGACATTCATAAATTATGAATCCATGCCTGCACATTCACTTTGGAACCATGCCTACACATTCACTTTGGAACCATGAGATTATGAATTTTCTGTTATGAGATTATGAATTTGTTAGACTAAAATATCACATGCACCATATAATATGTGATTACAGGATCGACTAACCTCCAGCCATAGTCTTCTTGTTACGGTTGAGCGATCCGGACTGCTGCAGAGATAACGAGTATTTTGTCTCTCACTTTACTCAGCTCTCTCTAGATGGTGTATGAGGTATGTAATGTGAGCAGTGAGAGGACTAGTGACCTTATATAACCACTGGCCATCATTGTGGTTGATTGTCTTTAGGTCTCCTAAACCCTAACTAGACTCCTAATCATAATGGTAGTCTAATTGTTAGGTTATTAGTGTTGTACCACATATCAAATACTGAATATTATCATAAATTATCCTAATGTTATAATAATAGTAACGGATAAACGTTACATTCTCCCACTTGGTGCAAGCACTACCACTCAATAACAGAAAAACACCAACCATAGTGATATGTTCTCATTAGCACGAGTAGTATCCATTATGATCAAATGCAAACTGCCAATGAGCACTTAATTAGGAAACAAAACCCAACGAAATAAACCCTATGTTTATTCCAAGTCCCTGAAGTACATTTTCTCATCAATATGAAGCAAATGAATGTGTACACACTTAATTGAGAAAATGTCTGAATGCCAAAGAATTTTATTGAAACTGAATGTATATACAAATTACAAAGTAGATGAAAGTCTCATTTTCTAAACCAAATCCTTGAATTTAACTGAAGGCATGCATTTAGTCAAGGGATCTGCTAACACCAACCCAGTATTAATGTGTTCAAAGAATAGAACTTTATTTTTGACACACTTCCTAATTGCTAAGAACTTGATGTCGATGTACTTAATTCGACTCCCACTTTTGTGGTCTTAGCTAGGAAGACTGCAGCTGAGTTGTCACAGTAGACTTTCAATGGCTTAGATATAGAATCCATAATTCTAAGCCCAGAGATAAAATTCTTTAGCCAAACACCCTATGAAGTTGCCTCGAAACTGGAAACGAACTCGGCTTCCATGGTAGAAGTAGCTATTAAGGACTGTTTAACACTTCTCCATGAGATAGCCCCACTGGCCATAATAAAGACGCACCCTAAAGTTGATTTTTGAGAATCAACACAGCCAGCAAAGTCCGCGTCTGAATAACCGACAAGATCTAAATTGTCCGTCTGCCTAAACCCAAACTTGTACAGACTCGAATATATCCAAGACATCCAACAAGGGATGTTCTCCATGGATTCTTTCTCTAAACCATTTTTCGGACACTGGTCCAAACTGAATTTTTCCCCCTTAGCTATGGGAGCAACGTCAGATGAACAATTTTACACATGAAATCTCTCTAAAACTTTGTTTATATAGGTTTCTTGAGATAAACCCAGTATACCCCGGGACCTATCTCTACGAATTTTAATGCCGATAACGTAAGAGGCATCACCCATATTCTTCATATCAAAGTTCATAGAAAGAAATTGTTTCACGAAGCATCCCCTTATCATTGGTGGCAAGTAAGATGTCATCCACATATAAAACAAGGAAACAAATTTTACTCCCACTCACCTTCTGGTATATACAGTTATCTGAGGGATTTTCAACAAAACCAAATGAAGAAATTACCCCATTGAACTTGATGTACCATTGACGGGAGGCTTGTTTTAAACCGTATATGGATTTCTTAAGCTTACATACTAAATGCTCACCACCCCTAGAAGAGAAACCTTCAGGTTGTTTCATATAAACCTCCTCTTCTAGATCACCATTTAGGAAAGCGGTTTTCACATCCATTTGTTGCAACTCAAGATTAAAATGTGCAACTAATGCCAGAATGATCCGAAGTGAATCTTTCTTTGATACAGGAGAAAATGTCTCATTGTAATCGATTCCTTCTTTTTTAGTAAATCCCTTGGCAACAAGCCGGGCCTTGTATCTCTTAATGTTGCCTAATGAGTTTCTTTTAGCCTTAAAGACCCATTTGCAACAAACGGCCTTGGCCCCATTAGGCAACTCCACAAGATCCCAAACTTCATTGTCCTTCATGGAATTCATTTCATCTTTCATGGCTTCTAACCATAAGTCAGACTGTGCACAATTTGTGGCTCGAGAGAATGTTTCAGAATCATTTTCTGCCCCTATGTCAGATTCTTGTAGATACGAAACATAATAACTAGGACCTGTTGATCGCCTTATCCGAGTAAACCGTCTTAATGTTGGACCTCCACCGCCTTGCACAGGCTGCAGGTCAACTACCTCTTCAGGAACTGGTAGCAGTTCTTGAATTGGTTCAGTCTGCATCGGCTCAGAATCTTGTTGTATATCCTGAGTTGGTTCAACCATTGGTTCGAAATCTAGTTCAGGCGGTTGCTGTAAGTCCTGAAATGGTTCTTCCAAAGGTTGATCCTCAACAGTTTGTGGAACCTCAACGGTAGGTGGTATATCTGCAGGCATAACTAAAGGAGCACTGCGGATAAGTACAACCCCACCAGATGACGTAGAAGGTTGAGAGTCAATATGATCGAAGGAAGGAACTAAGTCCTTAAACCGATCACTCCCACTAATCAAGTCATCTTCAAGAAATTTAGCATTCCTTGATTCCACTATCCTAGTAGTATGAGATGGACAATAGAATCTATAACCCTTAGAAGATTGTGCATATCCAATAAAGAAAGCACTAATCGTCCTTGGATCAAGTTTCTTCTCGTGTGGGTTATATATCCTCACCTCAGACGGACATCCCTAAACACGTATATGTTGCAAACTCGATTTCCAACCTTTAAATAACTCAAACGGTGTCTTAGAGACAGCCTTGGTTGGAACACGGTTTAATATATACGTTTCCGTCTTAAGTGCTTCATCCCACAACGGCTTAGGAAGCTTAGAGTTGCTAAGCATACTCCACACCATATCCAGAAAGGTCCAGTTTCTTCTTTCAGCTATACCATTTTGGTCAGGAGAACCAGGCATGGTGTATTGGGCAACAATCCCATGCTCTTGAAGAAACTTAGCAAATGGACCAGGTGCTTGTCCATTCTCAGTATATCTACCATAGTATTCACCACCCGTATCAGACCTAACTATGTGTATTTTCCTGTTACATTGGTTTTCAACTTCAGCTTTAAATGACTTAAAGGCATCCAATGCTTCATGTTTATGATGAAGTAAATACACATAGGAAAAACTTGAGAAGTCATCAATAAAGGTGGTGAAATATTTCTGACCAGGTATTGTCATATCAGGACAACATATGTCAGTATGAATAATTTCCAACAACGTTGTACTTCTATTGGCACCTTTCTTTGACTTGTTTGTCTGCTTACCCTTATGCAGTCAAGGCAAGTCTCAAAGTCAGTATAGTCTAGAGTAAAATGTACTCCATCCTTTACTAACCTTTTAATACGCTCAAGGGAGATATGACATAATCTCCGATGCCACAACATTGAGGAATTGTCGTTAATACTACACCGTTTGGTGCCGTTTTGAACATGTAAAGAATTGTAAACTGAATAATTCTTTAATTTAAGAAGGAAAAGACCATTAGACAATGTACCAGTACCAACACAAGTAGAATAACGAAATAACTTGATATTATTGGTATTAAATTCAAAAGAATATCCGAAGGGTACAAGTCTAGATACTGAAACTAAGTTCCTAGAAAAACTAGGAACATAAAATGTCTTTTCTAACGTCATTACAAAACCATTGTCTAAAATTAAATTGCAAACTTCGACAGCTTCGACTGGTGACGCAATCTTGTTTCCAGAGAAGATGCTACACTCAATTCCCGTTGGTTGTCTCAATTTTGTCAAATCCTGCAAAGAGTTTGCAATGTGGATTGTTGAACCAGAGTCAACCCACCAAGAATTAGTATTAACTTCTGACATATTAGATTCGAAACAAACAAAAGAAGATGGAACATACCCAAGCTTAGCCACAAGCCTTTGTTCCTCCATTGCACACATGGTTATCAACTCATTGATAGACCAGTCCTCTTTATGTGTGATGTAGGAAATCTTAAAAGGATTGTACTCCTGAGGGAGGGTATCAAGTGCAAAAAACACCAAATAATCATCTGGTAGAATGATTTCCAACTCCTTTAATTGAGCCGCAATATCCCTGAGTTGCATAATGTGTTCACGCGTTCCCTAGCTTGACAGTGGAAAGACGCAAATTTCTCAACTTCATGATTGGAGTCATTGCCAAAACTTTCTTTGATTCAATGAAGTTATCATCGATAGCTTTGAGCAAGGGTTTCGCTTTCTTAATGTCCTCAAAGCAAAAACGAATTTTTCTAGAAATTCTTGACTTAATGAAGAGCACACATAATCCATTGGATTTCTCCCATTGTGCGCGAAGCTGCTTGGCTTCGCCAGTGCTTTCTTCAGTAACCTCAGGGGGTTCCTCATTGAGAACAGCGTAATCCAACTCTAATAATCTTAATTGCAAGAGAATAGCATCTTTCCACTCTTTGTAGTTATCTTCATTAAGGATTGGAACATTAATTTGTGTTTGGGTGACAGGATGAGTTGCTGTAAAGAATAATAATTAATGCTTGGTTAGAATTTTCGAGGCACAAAAAATTAGAGAGAGATACTGAAGTACATAATATTACCAATGTAAAATTATGCGAAAGATAAATTCAGATGCCATAAAAATTGCCTGTGGGCTAAATTTTTACGCATAATGAATTTACCAAAACTGAATGGTGGAAACGGAATGGGTGCGATTTTAATTTTTTTCCACCCTTAATGACAAAACTACCAAAACTATATGCCGATACATAATCCCTGTGGGCAAATTATGATCATAGTATGGTATTTCATCCTAATTAACCCTACAAATATAACAAAATTGCCTGTGGGCTAAATTTTACCATATAACGCAGAGTGAATTACAATATTCTTGCATTTAACTTTATGTGAGTAAAACTTAATATGTAATTTTGGAAAAATTAAAGATGCTGTGGCTACTCTTTAATTAACCAAAGAACATAATCACATTAGCAAGAAAACCTAATAAACAAACAGATTAAACCAAAATATGATAGACAATCTTTAGGTATACTCCCAGGAAAGTTGGTCGAGACGAAGCTCGGTTAAATACCAACTCCTTAGACAGAGTAGCGTCGCAAGGGGACTAGTAGCAACAAGGCTTTTAAGCCAGGGCCATAGAACTGGTATTCCTCCCCAAGAAACTTCCCTAATTCATGTGTTCTCATTTTTTGAAGTAAAATCGTTTGAGAGATCTAAAGAGTAGTTTCACCTATGGATAAGGCTTGTTTATGTACTTTATGTGCTTTAGGAACTTTATAAGAGCACGAATGGAGTAATAACTGAAGAGTGAGTAATAATATGCATAATCTAACCTGAAAGACACAAATTCACCTAAAGGCACTCAATCATGCATAATCAGCATATAATTCAGACCTAAAAGGCTCTAAATTTTTCTTAATGAGCATGCTTTTCTACAGGCATAATTATAACAGTCAAATAATTATTGCAATAAAGACATAAATAGCATGCTCAGATTATGCACATTACTCACAAATACTCCACAATTAAATTGTAACACTTAATACAATTTAAAATGAAAAACATTATTAAATTAAAATTCAACTGAAAAATTAAAACTGAATAATTATTCAAAGTTGAATAATAATTTAATAATAGACTTAATAAAAAAAAATTTCAATTGGATAATTTAATTAGAAGAAGTCCAAATATGATGAAGATGTAAATCTGAATGAATTGATGTAATCCAAATATCAATTCAGGTTTGGCCCAAAACCATAACAGGCCCAGTAATTTTTTTTAAATGAGCCCAAGTCTGGCCCAATTGGGCCAGACCTGGTCCATTAACTTAATTACCATCATCCATCATCATCTTCTTCATGCAAAGGCAGTAGCACAGCGACGAAGCAGCCAAGCCAAAATTTAATTATCCAATTTCAATTTTTTTTTTTTTTTTTTTTTGCTATTTCTTAATGTGGAAAAAGAAAACACCAAATTTCCAGCAACCCAGATAATTTAATTGCAAACTCAAGAATATTCACATATGTATCTCAATTATACAAAATCGTATACAACATATGTAAATATTTAAGCAATTAAAAAAAAAAAAAAAAAACTAGGCAGAGATTATTTATGGCGACTGATACCAACTGTTAGACTAAAATATCACATGCACCATATAATATGTGATTACAGGATCAACTAACCTCCAGCCATAGTCTTCTTGTTACGGTTGAGCGATCCGGACTGCTGCAGAGATAACGAGTATTTTGTCTCTCACTTTACTCAGCTCTCTCTAGATGGTGTATGAGGTATGTAATGTGAGCAGTGAGAGGACTAGTGACCTTATATAACCACTGGCCATCATTGTGGTTGATTGTCTTTAGGTCTCCTAAACCCTAACTAGACTCCTAATCATAATGGTAGTCTAATTGTTAGGTTATTAGTGTTGCACCACATATCAAATACTGAATATTATCATAAATTATCCTAATGTTATAATAATAGTAACGGATAAACGTTACAGAATTTTCTGTTATGAGATTATGAATTTTCTGTTACGCGATTATGAATTTTCTGTTATGAGATTATGAATTTTATGAAAATTCATAATCTCATAACAGAAAATTCATAATTTGATCAACGCGCGCCATTAACTCCACATCCGCAAATTTTTTTCTTTTTTGCTTAAAAACGACGTCGTTTGACCTTGTGTTCACCATTCTCGGTGAACACGTTTTCAGGGCATAATTTGCCGACCTTTTGTATGGCGTCTGTATCTTAGATAGATGCTTCTAACTTTTAGAATATAATTTTGATAGTTGATCATCAAATTCTATTTTCCATTATTAATAAAGACAGACATGAGTAGTTGCCTTATGTGATTTCCAATTTTAATACCATTTAAATATCATTCTCAATATCAACACTAACATTTAGATTTTCATAAAGAATTTGTGGTGTTTTAATTACAAACTTATCTAATGCTTTTCTTTGTGATTGCTGTAACTCTTCAATTTTTTTATTTTTTTTGTTTCTTACGTTTTTCATAGCACAATAGCCACTGGAAATTTTGGGTGTCCACCATACTAGCAACTCTAATCAGAATTATTCCACCGCAATAGCAGAAGTTCCTGACTAGCACAATAGTTAGTAGTATCATTGGATATATTATTATATAATACATTTTATTACAATGTTTTTTTTTTTAAAATAAGAAATTAGTGCGAATTTGTTTTTACGTACCTCTCACTTTTTTTTTTTTTTCATTGTCATTTTAATCCAATTAATATGACCTAATTAATTAATTGTATATATGCACAGGACCACTAATATTTGATGTTCCGAAGAATCATGGCTAGTCCTATCATTTTACAGGCTCGGGGCAAAATAAGAACAAGGACCTTTAATATATGAAGTTGAAAGATTTTATGGGTTAATTGAAAATAATTAAATGTTAATTTTTAATTTTTGTAAACATATAATTTTTTTATTAAAAAAATATATTTTCACCATCATCACTGTGATGGGTCCTGTGCATATAACGTCCCACATTTCATCATGAATCACCGAGAGATGTGCCTGCATCCTCACTTTCCAATCATCAAATTTTGATAGATTAAAGGCAAGAGGCCTAAATCGGTTATTACCATGATCCTTTTCCATTTTTCTTTTAGAAAAAAAAAAAAGTGCAAAGGGTGAGAAAGACAGATTTTTAAATTTTTAACGAAAAGGGATCTACCAGGTAGTAAATGCAAAGCTTTTACCGTTCAAGGTAACTGCTCTGATACCACTTGTTGGTCCCGGTAGGTTCGAAAGAAGAGTCTAGAGGGGGGGGGGGGTGAATAGACTCAATTCGTTTTCTCGCGAAAATAGCTCCTTTCGGGCTTGTTACGCAGCGGATATGTAATATGAGTTTTAGGTTTCTTTGCACTGTTTGATCTTTTGGAGAACTTTCGGTTAGGGCGAGTGGAATGCAATGCACGAAAGTAAACGCTGAAAAGTAAAGAGATAGGGACAAGAGATTTTTATAGTGGTTCGGCCAACTGTGCCTACTCCACTCTTCTTTCACAACTTGTGAAAGGTTTGCACTATCACTCCCTAGTACAAATTACACCAAGATAGCTTCCTTACACACTAAGCCGGACAGCTACTTGAAGGTTTTTCAACTCCTAGAGTTTACTCCGCCTTTATCAACTTCTTCTTCGGAGTTGAGGATTGGATGAGATTGATCTTGAGTTTCCTCCAATACGGTGAAGTCTTGACTGGCTGGTGGCTGGATGGATATGCAGCGTGTACAAAGTTGCAAGACTTCTTCAAGGTTGTGAGTGATATCAGATTTGCTTCTACAAAAGATCACACCTTGAATCACTGGATTACAAAAGCTTTAAGAGAGTGTTCTTAGTTTAAAGAGCTTTTGTGAATGAGAGATTGATCGTTCAGAAAGCCAGCACCTTCTATCATGAAGAAGATGGGTATTTATAGGTGAGAAGAAATCTATCCGTTGGAGGGAGATGGCATTTCAAACCTATAATCCAGTGGTTAATAACCGGAGAGCCTTGTGCATTTATGACTTCATTTAATGCGTTTGTACTTCATAGCCGTTGGAGACAAGTACTTTTGCTTATTTTGTCTTCTAGCACTGAAAAGTAGTACTTTGGCATTTAATGCACCTTGGTAAGTGTGCTCCCGTTTCTAAGATATTTTTCTTCCAAGGATGATCTTCGGATTAGACAGATTGACACATTCTTCTTGAGTTGGGAGAAGATGTGTTGTCTTTAATGTCAGAAGGCTTCTTTTGGTTTTAGCTTTCGATTGAGAAGATCGTCTTTCGTCGTTCAGACGAGTTGTGACTTTGCTTCATTAAGATGTTCTTCTTTCGTCAAAAGAAGAGACCTAACTAAAATTATTCTTAACTCGATTTCGTGTGTTTGTCTAGCTTAACACGAATTACATATTGAGTTAAGGTACCTTTTGTCTAAGACAAAGGTAATGAAAACAAAAGACAAAAAGTTAGGGGTCTACTTCTAAGTTACATTGGTATCATCAAAATCCTAATACATGTGTTCCTAACAAAATTAAATTTCAATTTTCTTCCTGGGGAGTCCCAATATATATCGTTTGCATGTTTAACAGACAATTGTATAGGAATGATCTTGTCCAAAAGGATGATGAGAGATTTTTGGAACTGACAACAACTTTCTTGACTCTGTATTTTATATAAAATTCTAGGGTATAACATGATCATATGGTCCAACCACTTCGTATCGAGACTAAAACGTTCTTTCAAATAACTAGAATTTAAGATTGGAATGGCCTAAAATGGCCTAGAGTTAAAACATCATAAAAACAACTCAAGCGCTACTCAAACACCCCTCTGTCACAAATTATGACAGAGGCTCTCCCATTTAGGGAGACCTTACATTAGCTAGCACCCCTCTAATAATGCAATAGAGGTCATTAGTCTAGGTGATGACTCTACTTGATCAGTCATGGACCCTATCCAGGTAAGTATAGTATCCTAACTTATGTTTATTAAATTCATAGATACTGATCCCACACCAGGATATGTTGAGTGCACCGGAAGGAGTCGCACCATTTGTGACACCGCTAAAAATGTTACTTGCAGATCCAAAAAAGAGCACTACCACTAATAACATGCGCTAATTTGTTTGCAACAACTGTACTTTAGCAGGACACCCGCGCTGTTTGTCTTATGGCATTGGATTTTAAACCAACTAGACCCTAACATGTAAGCGTGTAACACCGCACACAAGGTATAAGCTAAGCATTCACGTAAGTGGTTTTTTGCATTTAAACTATTCGTTTTTAATTTTGTGTGCTTAATTTGTGTTCAGAAATATGGAATTATTTGCACATAATGGGTGGACCGCACTTTATTCTGATTTCTTATCTTTACAATACAACACAGAAGTGCTGAGTAGGTGTCATTGATGCATGGCGTTGTGTCATAAATGACAGGGAGAAAATGAAAAAGAGGGACAGCCCTAATCGGGTTTTTTTGCTTCTACCTACATAACAGTAAGTATTCAACACTAGTGTGCAAACAAAGTAGAGTTTTGGCAGCTGTCTGAACTTGTGTTTTGTAATGCTGCAAAACATATCCACACAATGGTTTCCCCCAACGCTAGCGGAGGCAAAAGGATTGAGTGGTTCATTGATCGGTTGGAAGCATATCTCAAGCTTGCACCAAACTTGAACTATGCAACCATGAACATGGTAAACCTGGAATAAATAACTTCATTAAACAGTTTAAATGGATCGCAGTTCTTCTTCCCCATCCTTCATAATGCCTTGAGCGTTGACACCAGGAACCGTTAGTTTGATATAATTGACAACTCCGCGATGACTTCAAATAGATCGAAATACGGAGACATCCCCCAAAATTTGGTAAGATTTCACCCAACTTGTAGTTATTGACACTATAGATAATCCGAGTGTCGTCCTTGTCAGTCCACCTCTGATCGACAGCTCCAATTACAGCTCTGATGGAGGTGAAGAACAAGTGGTGTATCATTGACGGTAGTGTCGTGGCGCCAACCAAAGAGGATAACCAGTACACAGCTTGGAGGCGCTGTAATCTCATGGTGTGTTCTTGGATTTTCAAATCCGTGCACTCCTCAATGGCACAAAGCATTATGCACTTTGTTAAGTTACTTGCGAAACACCGTGGGGATCGTCAAAAAGGGAAGTAATGGAAAAATCTTATATACTCTTATGAATTTAGCCAACCATACCAGTACACCGGAATTGGTATACTCCTACCTTTCTAACAGTAACTGTGGTTGTGACTGTTCTACCAATAGCAATTGCATTCACTCCCTTTCCTGTCCTGTTGTAGATTTATATAGTAATAAATGTGCGTTTGAGGATTTTAAACATGTAGCTAAATTCAAATACAAAGTAATAATATTTGAGTGTTGTAAAGTTAAATATTATTTTAAATTTAGTAGAAAGTTTATGAAAATTATTTAATTTTGATTAGGAAATGTCTTCTAGTACGTTAATTAAAAAGTGTACATGTTATTTAAGGTCTGATGATACTCTATAAAAGATAAATTTTAGCAGAGCTAAATAACATGGTTTACAGATTAGAGCTATCAAAACAGGCAAATGATTGTGTGGACCATAACAAAAATGTACATTTTTAATATACTAAATGTACATTATTTTTGTACTGAATGTACATTATACAATATAATGTACACTCAGAACAAAAATAATGTACATCCCCTGAATACAATGTACATTATTTTTGTACTGAATATACGTTATTTTTGTACTAAATGTATATTATTTTACAGTAGATAAAATATGGTTCACACATCTTGTGTAGACCATGGTCCACACAATAATGATTGATCAAAACAGGCGGGCGTACCAGGCCCACCAAAATAAGCTTAAATGAGGCCGGCCCTCCCCGCCTTAGGGCATGCCAAATTTAAAAAGTTTTAAATTGAAATAAAAATTAATATGAAAAAGTTAATAAGTGTATACTAAAATAATTTGAATAGTTTAAATATATATATTAATGTATTTCTAATTTGTTAAACACAACAATAACTAATCTTAACTATAATATTATATGTGGTTTTGCCCTCATGGGTAGCTCAACTGGTCATAGAGGTGAAACTTTGGAAGAATGACCAGGGATTGAGTCTCACCAGTGGCAGTGTGGGAGCACCAGTCTAGCCTCTGTGGTTCATGTTCAGTTGAGTCACCATGGGTTGGGGAGCCATATGGTTTGGTGAGCAATTATTGTAACAATAATTGCTCACCAAACCATATGGTTATATTATAGTTAAGATTTATTTATTTATTTATTACATGGTGTACAAAAATTCAAATTAACCCTAATTCATTTTCATCTCTCTTGCCTCATCCAATCCATCCAAAAACTCACAAAATAAACTTCAATTGAGATTATTCTAATGAGGTCAATCTTAAAAATTTATTACATAGTATTTAATATTACAAATTTTTAAGAACTTAAGGGGGTGTATTCAATCATGACTTTGGTAGAGTTTTAAAGACTTTTAAATTGATAGATTTTAATAAACTTTGATTGACTTTCATAGAGTCATTTAATGATTCTATAAAACTTTTTAAAACTTTGAATTTCTACAAAAGTCTACAAAAGTCATTGAAATTCTAAATTGAATACATCCTTACAAACTTTCAATGATTTTGATTCTTATCATTTATAATTTTCTTACAAAACATTTATAATATATCATAAAATTCTTCGGGTTATATAGTTCTTGACCCACATCAACATTCTCAAGATTATTATTTTTATCCCTAGTATGTTGAGACTTATATGCTAATTACTCATTCTTCAAAAAAAAATGCTAATTACTTATATATATTATTAATAAACATCAACCAAAAAAAAAAAAAACTATTTCATTAGAAAGTCATAACAATATTAAACAATAAAATTTATAAGAAAAGAATTGATCAAATAAAATATTTAAAAATATAATTACAAGTTTCATAAAATAAAAAAATAAAAATCTAATATTAATAATATATATAAAAAATAATTATACTTCATATATTGCTAGGCATATATCACGCAAAGTACTATTATTTGCAATAGCATGCAATTTGAGACCGCGAACAGCAACAAGGTGATACTGTTTGCAACCCCAAATTGTTATGGCAAACAGTAGTTCGCTATACGTAGTAACCTGTTGTTAAAAAAAGGAAAAATATATATTACGAATATAAGCATAAATAGAATAAAAAACAAAATATATAAGTATTTATATGAATATTATGAAACTTATACTAAAATTTGACAATGAAAAATTTGCTTTGTTCATGTATTTAGAGGGAATTAGAGAAATTTAGGGATAAAAAATTAATAGAAAAAATAAAAATCAATATAAACAAGCAATAATGAAGTAAAAATAATATTATTTCAAATTTGTAGATGAAGATTGTAAAGTTTAGGAGAGAGAGAAAAATTAGTAGAGTTTAGGTATGAGGAAAATATAGGATAATGAAGAAAAAAATAATTTTATTGAATTTGGATAGGTTTATAAAGTTTAAATAGGGAGAAAAAATAGAATTTTAATAGAGAGAGAAATCATTCAAAGTTGTAAGAAAGAAAATTTTGAAATCTTGGGGTTGATGGTTGGATTTCAACTATTTATATTTGAGAAGGAAAAGTCTACAAAAGTCTTAAAATTAAAAAGTCTACAAAAGTTCATAACTTTTTGAATACCACATGACTTTTAAAGACTCTTTAAAAGTCTTAATCGAATACCACACGACTTTTAAAGACTCTTTAAAAATCTTGATTGAATACCGCCTGACTTTTAAAGACTCTCTAAAAGTTTGAATTGAATACCTCTAAACTTTTAAAGTTCATAAAAGTCTTTAAAACTCTATGAAAGTCATGATTGAATACACCCCCCTTAGTCAAATACAATAGTAATTGAATTACAATTTTCAGAATCATCCCGAATCAAAATTTTTAGACCTTTGAGATTTCTAGAGTTTAAGATTTGTAGTAAACACCCACCTTAAATATCAATTCTTATTTTAATTGTAAATATATTTATGTTCATAATTTTATCATAGCAATTAACACATAATTATTAAATAACAAAATTTTTATATATGAATAAACCTCATATAGGGTATATTTTTATAACATATTTCCCGTGCATCGCACTGGACAAATACTAGTAAAGTATTAATAATGATAATAATAAAGTAATAAGTCTTAATAAATCAAAAAAAAAAAATCAAATACATAATATTTAACCTATAATAATAAGGCAATAACAAATAATTTATATCCCCTCAAAGTCTGAAATTTTGGCAATAACAAATAAGTTATTAAATGTAAAAAAGTTTAAAGAAAGTCTATTCACCCCACCTCCTCCTCCCCCCCCAATTTTCTACCATCCTATCGAGACCAACAGAAACATTTCATTTTGATAGTGATGATGAAGTCTTTTAATATATTGATGAGTTTACTTTGATTGCATTATATTATTGTTAATATTATAAATTGTACTAATACAATATCTATAGTTACAACATAATATTTATGATAAAAAAATGTATTACAAAAATTAATATTTATTGAGCAACAACAGTATATACAAATTAAAATTAAAAAAATAATATTTGACAATAACATTTAGTGATAGGCAAAATCTAATATAATGAGAGAAAATTTTGTTAGTAAATAGCAATATTAATGACGGGATTCTCCATCATTAAAAGGATAGATGAGAGGAAAATATGTTAGTGAATTGTTGTATTAACGACGGGATTCTTTGTCACAAAAAGAAAATTTTAGTGACAGTAAATATACTATCACTATATGCTCACTAATGACGGTATCATATCCTGTCATTAATTGTTTTTAACCGCGGAAGGTATAACGACGGGTCGCGACGGTAAACTTCCGGTCATTAAAAGTCTTTTATGATGGTTTTTTATTCCTTAATGATGGTTTTACTTCTCATTAATGACCAATTTTCTTGTAGTGTGTGTTTGCCGTTAACATATTATTTATCTGCAGTTAACAGTTAATGTGTCTGTAGTTATCATGTGTTGTGCCTTCAATTTGTTTACATATACAAAAACAGTTAATTGCAGGTACAAAATTTGTCAATTGTAGGTATAGAATTTAAAGATTGTTTTTTTTTTTTTTTATCAGAGTCCATAATGCAAGGTAGACCATGTTCAATTTATAGGTAATATATTAAAAAAATATATATATATAGACCATCAGTATACAAAAAATAAATGTTTAATATTCTAAAAATGAAATTTAATATATTATTAAAAAACCAAATTAAAATATTAAATAAAAAACTAGTTATAAAATATAAAAAAAAATTATTTCTATTTTCAAATTCATTCCCAACTTTTACTCGGTCTCACAAAATTTTGATGTTAACATTTTCATTGATACCCACGTAATGAAGATCACTTATATGGTACCAACACAGCCAAAGAAACCTTATCGATCTATCTCACCTTTATCATGTAGGCAGACGAATAATATATGGTACTATACCAACACAGCCACACAAACCTTATCGATCTATCTCTCAAAGTCTCAACTACAGTCAACCATAGCCGACATAAAGCAATGGGGTTGATTTTGTTTTTTGTTTTTTTTTTTTTTTTTGTTTTTTGTTTTTTTTTTTTTTTTTTTTTGTTTTTGTTTTTTGAAAGATGGGTGATTTTTTTATTTGTTTTAATTTTTGTTGTTATTTCACCGATAACGTTTGAAATCTATGAAAAATAATAATAATTTCAGTTCCTAATTATTAACGTAAGCACTATTATTCAATTCACTTTTTCATAAAGTGGTGATCTTAATCCCCGTCAATAAAAATAGTTAAAATGAATCTACCTGTCGTCATTGCATTGCAAATATAAGGATAAACTTATATTTTACAATTATAATAATAATTCGGAAACTAACTTGTAATGAGAAGTGGGAGAAGAGAGGGGCGAGAAAATAAAGAGTAGTGAAAAGTTTCTTCCTCTCGTATAGAAAATAAGAGATGTCAGAAGTTCGAACTCCCTCTCGTATAGAAAAATCAATCTGACCAACACTTTGCCCCTTAATTGGGCTGGCCCAATGCGAACGAAAATTAATTTAAATATGATATCGGTTAGGGCCTGCTCCGGACACCTCGTAATTTGACAAAAAAAAAATGTACTCATATAAGCATAGGAATGATATATGGTAGCAAGTTAGCAACAGACACACATAAGCTAAGCAAACCAAACCAAACCTTGTCATTCAGTCTCCACTGATACAGAGTACAGAGTGAACTAACCATGGCCGACGCTATCATCTCCGGTGTTGTGAATCAGCTGTCCATCTTCATCAAAAATCAAAAATCTCTTTTTTTAGATAACAAGTGTCTAAAAAGACTACTTTTACTTTTTTAATTTCCTTTTTTATTTTTTTGTTTATATTTTTTTATTTTTTATTTCTTCCCATTTTCTCTTTTCTAATCATACAAAAACTCCTCAAAAATCACACCAAAATCTCCACTATCCAGAATGCTCTTGTAAAGTAGACGTCCACAAGACATAGACATTGACCCCTATGGGAAAAATGGGACACTACTACAACATGCATAAACAAATACGGAGTAGCCATGAATATTATTCAAACACATTGAATTCATTTTTTTTAAAAAAAATATTATTGACCGTGTTACAAATTCATCACATTCATTAAACTAAAATAAATTACATTTTTATTGCTGTGTTTTTTTTTATTATCGAGGTAAACCCTCGCCCTGCGACCCTAGCCAGCAAAGGGCCACAAGGTGGTAAACCAGCCTAGGTTTCCCATAGCTGACCGGCTCAAACTTGTCATGACGGAGGATTGAACCCAGGACCTCTCAGTCAAGGGCGCTACCTCCTTACCACTTGAGCTGGGGTTGCCCCCTATATTACACTTTTTTATCATGTACTAAATGTAGTCATGTAAGCATAAAGCATAGGAATGATATATGGTAGCAAGTTAGCAACAGACAGCCACAAGCAAACCAAACCTTATCATCTCATCTCCTTCTAAAAGTCATTCAGTCTCCACTGTTACAGATCGAGTACAGAGTGAACTAACCATGGCCGACGCTGTCATCTCCAGTGTTGTGACCAGTCTTGTGGATCAGCTGTTCATAATCATCAAGGACCAAGCCCAGGAGCTAAGAGCAGCGTTGGGTGTGGAGAACGAGATCCAAAGCCTCTCATCAAAGCTCGACAAAATCAGGGCGGTGTTGGATGATGCAGAGAGGAGAAGCTTCAAGGAAAAGGGCGTCAAGCTCTGGGTGGAAGAGATCAAAAACTTCAGCTACGATGTGGAAGATGTTCTGGACGAGTGGAGCACCAAAAGTCGCAGACAACAGATAGAGAGGTCGTCCCAGGTTGCAGCAGCAGGAAGCTGTTGCTCTTTCCTGCTAGCAGTATTTTCATGTTTCCATTTCGAAAGGGTTGTTATGCATCGAGACATCGCCAACAAAATAAAGGAACTTGATTCCAGACTTGATCGGATTACCAAAGACAAAGATGTGTACAATTTTGTTGCTGTAACACACACTACACACAGTTCTGGTCAAGAATCGAAGCGAGTGCCCAGTACTTCGTTTGTGGATGCTTCAGAGATTCAAGGTCGGGAATCCGATGCCAGTGCTTTAATAAGCAAGTTGCTTCAAGGTCCCCCTAGCCCTGTCGTGATTTCCATAGTGGGCGCGGGAGGGATAGGGAAAACTACCCTTGCTCAATTAGTCTATGGCGATAATCAAATAGAGGCTCATTTTCCTGAAAGGGTGTGGGTTTGTGTTTCAGACACTTTTGACGAGATCAAGATTGCGAAAGCCATTGTTGAGTCAATCACTAAAAGCTCCGCAAATCTCTCTGACCGACTGCAAGTGTTACTGGAAAAAATTCAAAGCACTTTGTCTCACAAGAGAACTAGGTTCGATCCATCTGTTATTTTTTTAATACTACTGTTACAATGTAATATTTGTTTATATCTATTTTTTCAATCTATTGAAGCACAAAGAGTAAATACCGTCCCTCTAGTACAATAGGTTTTTTTTTTTAGCAAGCAAGATTTTAATTAGTACAGTTGAGTTTTATTTGTTTGAATTACTATACTTTTTTTTTTTTTTTTTTTTTTTTTTTTTGTTGACTCCGATCCGGGTTATTGGAAATATTTTAGGAGCGGAGTACGTAGTTTGTTACTCTTGCATGTATAGTATAGTATAGTATAGTTTAAATTGATGAATGGAAATGAAATAATCTAGCTCTAGCTAGAATAGCTATCTGAGTGTTAGTTTATATATATTGTTTTTCCTTATAGGTTCCTACTTGTGTTGGATGATGTCTGGATAGAGAATTATGCAAAGTGGGAGCCATTTAACAACTGTCTCAAAGGTCTTGGTAAGAACTGTCCTGGGAGTAGAATCTTGGTGACCTCAAGGAAAAAGAACGTTGCAAGAATGATGAGAAGTGTGTATGAACATCCGGTGGAGCTAATATCCGACCCAGATGCTTGGTCGTTGCTTAGCAAGATAGCATTTTCCGGGAGAAGCAACAGGGAGGAGGATGCTTATTCTGAGAAACTGAAAGAAATTGGTAAGCAAATTGCTCAAAAGTGCAAAGGACTGCCACTTGCTGTTAAGGTCATGGGAAGCCTATTACGTAGCAAAGACACTACTGAAGAGGAATGGCAATATGTTTTATCTAACCTGGATGATAAATTTTGGAAGATGGAGAAAATGGAAACAGATATCTTTCCTCATTTGTATCTAAGCTATCATGATCTAACTCCACAGATGAAGCGATGTTTCTCATATTGTGCTGTCTTTCCCAAGGATTATCAAATAAATGTAAATAGCCTCATCAGAATTTGGATGGCACAAGGTTATCTCCCAACAACAAATGGCAGCAGTGATCATAATCAGATGGAACAAAAAGGCCGGGAGGTTTTTGGGAATTTAGCAATGCGTTCTTTGTTCCAAGATTTTACGAAAGATGATGAGGATTCCAACATCATTATATTTTGCAAAATGCATGACATAGTGCATGATTTTGCCGAGTTTCTTACCAAAAACGAATGCTACAGTATTAGCCAGCATGAGGATAAGAAGAAGATTGAAAATCTACGTCATATATCATGGCAAAAAACTGGAAGGCTTATGGATCTTGCTTCCATTTGTGATGTACATGGAAAACTCCGGAGCTTTTTTGCTGAAGACCTTTCTCCAGAACAACTTACTCTAAATGTGTTCAATGGTTTAAAATTTGTGAGAGTATTGAGATTGCAAGACTGTAAGTTGCAGAAACTTCCAAAAGAGATTGGAAATTTGCTTCATCTGAGATACATTGATTTAGGTCGGAGTGACGTACACGAGTTACCTGATTCAATTTGCTCTTTGGATAATTTGCAAACTCTAAATCTTAACCACTGTTACCATCTTTCTAGACTACCTGGTAGGATTGGAAATTTGCATCACCTAAGGTTTATTGATTTAAGTTGGAGCATAATAGAGGAGTTACCTGATTCAATTTGCTCTTTAAATAACTTGCAGACTCTAAATCTTTATGGATGCGTGTCTTTCTAGACTTCCTGAAGGGATTGGAAATTTGCGTCACCTAAGCAAGATTGATTTAGGTCAGAGCAAAGTTGAGGAGTTACCTGATTCAATTTGCTCTTTGGATAACTTGGAAATTCTAAACCTTAAAGGATGTGAGTGTCTCTGTAGTCTTCCTCAAGGGATTGGAAATTTGCATCACCTAAGAGAGATTTATTTAAGTGAGAGCAAAGTTGAGGAGTTACCTGATTCAATTTGCTCTTTAGATAACTTGCAGACTCTAAATCTTTATGGATGCGTGTGTCTTTCTAGACTTCCTGAAGGGATTGGAAATTTGCGTCACCTAAGCAAGATTGATTTAGGTCAGAGCAAAGTTGAGGAGTTACCTGATTCAATTTGCTCTTTGGATAACTTGAAAATTCTAAACCTTGAAGGATGTGAGTGTCTTTCTAGACTTCCTGAAGATATTGGAAATTTGCGTCACCTAAGCAAGATTAATTTAGGTGGGAGCAAAGTTGAGGAGATACCTGATTCAATTTGCTCTTTGGATAACTTGGAAATTTTAGACCTTGATGAATGTGAGTGTCTTTTTAGACTTCCTGAAGGGATTGGAAATTTGCGTCACCTGAGCAAGATTAATTTAGGTGGGAGCAAAGTTGAAGAGTTACCTGATTCAATTTGCTCTTTGGATAACTTGAAAATTCTACACCTTTATGCATGTAAGTGTCTTTCTAGACTTCCTGAAAGGATTGGAAATTTGCATCACTTAAGCAAGATTGATATAAGTTGGAGCAAAGTTGAGGAGTTACCTGATTCAATTTGCTCTTTGGATAACTTGAAAATTCTACACCTTTATAGATGTAAGTGTCTTTCTAGACTTCCTGAAAGGATTGGAAATTTGCATCACTTAAGCAACATTAATATAAGTTGGAGCAAAGTTGAGGAGTTACCTGATTCAATTTGCTCTTTGGATAACTTGGAAATTCTTAACCTTGATGGATGTGAGTGTCTTTGTAGACTTCCTGAAGGGATTGGAAATTTGCGTCACCTGAGAACGATTTATTTAGGATGCAGCAAGGTTGAGGAGTTACCTGATTCAATTTGCTCTTTGGATAACTTGGAAATTCTAAACCTTGAAGGATGTGATTGTCTTTCTAGACTTCCTGAAGAGATTGGAAATTTGCGTCACCTAAGCGAGATTAATTTAGGTGGGAGCAAAGTTGAGGAGTTACCTGATTCAATTTGCTCTTTGGATAACTTGGAAATTCTAGACCTTGATGGATGTGAGTGTCTTTCTAGACTTCCTGAAGGGATTGGAAATTTGCGTCACCTTAGCAAGATTAATTTAGGTGGGAGCAAAGTTGAGGAGTTACCTGATTCAATTTGCTCTTTGGATAACTTGGAAATTCTAAACCTTGATGGATGTGAGTGTCTTTCTAGACTTCCTGAAGAGATTGGAAATTTGCGTCACCTAAGCGAGATTAATTTATGTTGGAGCAAAGTTGAGGAGTTACCTGATTCAATTTGCTCTTTGGATAACTTGAAAACACTAAATCTTGCAAGATGTGAGTGTCTTTCTAGACTTCCTAAAGAGATTGGAAATTTGCGTAACCTAAGAGAGATTTATTTAGGTCGAAGCAAAGTTGAGGAGTTACCTGATTCAATTTGCTCTTTGGACTACTTGGAAATTCTAGACCTTGATGGATGTGAGTGTCTTTCTAGACTTCCTGAAGAGATTGGAAATTTGCGTCACCTAAGCGAGATTAATTTATGTTGGAGCAAAGTTGAGGAGTTACCTGATTCAATTTGCTCTTTGGATAACTTGAAAACTCTAAATCTTGCAAGATGTGAGTGTCTTTCTAGACTTCCTAAAGAGATTGGAAATTTGCGTCACCTAAGAGAGATTTATTTAGGTCGAAGCAAAGTTGAGGAGTTACCTGATTCAATTTGCTCTTTGGACAACTTGGAAATTCTAGACCTTGATGGGTGTGAGTGTCTTTTTAGACTTCCTGAAGAGATTGGAAATTTGCTTCATCTGAGCGAGATTAATTTAGGTCGGAGCAAAGTTGAGGAGTTACCTGATTCAATTTGCTCTTTGGATAACTTGGAAATTCTAGACCTTGATGGATGTGAGTATCTTTCTAGACTTCCTAAAGAGATTGGAAATTTGCGTCACCTAAGAAAGATTTGTTTAGGTCGGAGCAAAGTTGAGGAGTTACCTGATTCAATTTGCTCTTTGGACAACTTGAAAATTCTAGACCTTGATGGATGTGAGTGTCTTTTTAGACTTCCTAAAGGGATTGGAAATTTGCGTCACCTGAGCACGATTTATTTAAGACGCAGCAAGGTTGAGGAGTTACCTGATTCAATTTGCTCTTTGGATAACTTGGAAACTCTAAATCTTGCAGGATGTGAGTGTCTTTCTAGACTTCCTGAAGGGATTGGAAATTTGCGTCACCTATGCGAGATTGATTTAGGCCGGAGCAAGGTTGAGGAGTTACCTGATTCTATTTGCTCTTTGGATAACTTGGAAACTCTAAGTCTTGCAGGATGTGAGTGTCTTTCTAGACTTCCTGAAGGGATTGGAAGTTTGTGTCACTTAAGCGAGATTGATTTAGGTCGAAGCAAAGTTGAAGAGTTACCTGATTCAATTTGCTCTTTGAATAACTTGAGAACTCTAAAACTTGTAGGATGTGAGTGTCTTTCTAGACTTCCTGAAGGGATTGGAAATTTGCATCAGTTATGGTTGATTGATTTAAGAGGGTGTAAAGTAGAGTTACCTGATTCAATTTACTTTTTGAACAACTTGGAAATTCGAGATGGCGAACTGAACGAAATTCGAGATGGCGAACTGAGCGATCAATCTGAATAATGCAGCAGATGTGTAGGAAGCAGTGAAAGCGATGTATGCTCTATTCATACAACTCACTCCATCATCACATGCAGCACTTTGAGGGGGCAGCAAACACCACTCTATCAGTGCTGCTCGCTGGCTGGCTGCATGCATGCCCTAATGTAAACTTCCACTACTATATCATTATATTATATTGTTTATTTTCCTCTACATATTAATTTCATCATCATTTAATTTATTTATGCACTTCTTCACTCATTTCTCTCACTTCTACTCTGCATTGCATTCATGGATCTGATCTTCTATATATTTATATAATTAAATCATTTTCAACACATTATTGTCAATAATTTATTGGTTAACAAACTGTGAATTGAAGCTACCCATTCTTGCTTTGCTTAATTAGCTTCAAGTTTCTATGTCCAATGCTGTAGCTAGGAGCCTTTTTGTTTATTAAAATTTTAAATGTTGAAAGGGTTTTATAGAGTATTCTTCTTTTTAAAACCATCACTCAATTGAAGTACGTGTGTAGCTTACACACAGAATATTCTAAGCTGTTGCATTACACAACATATATTCTCATCTTTTACCAAACTTGCTGTGTGTAGCTTTTAATTTATATCATCTTCTAATAACGTTTCTATTTTATTTATATAGATATGGCAGCAGCTTAAAAGAAACAGTGGGAGTAAATCACAAGCTGGCATGTCTCAAAAACACCATCATTATTGCATGCATTAATTGAAGGCTGAATCGGAAGAAGCAAGCTAAGTACACATGCACGTAAGGGCAATTGGTGCAGATTGGTTCAAATGGCATTTCAGTGCAGCACCCAAAATGGCCAACTAACGTTAGACAGGATATCTGCTACAATGTAACGGTTGGTTAAAACAAACCACTATTGGGCAAACCATATAATGTAGCAGCACACTAGCCCAATCATATTCCTAAGGGTAAGCTTGCATCTAGAAGAATTATACTTTTTCTTTGAAAACAGTAGTATATATTATGAATGAAATCATGGAACAACTAACAATATATTTGTCATCCCAGATGTTTTACACGGATCGTTTGCTGGTCGAAGACCGTATTGTCCCTAGGGATATTCCCGAGGTTGGACAACAAAACTTTTAAGAGAGCGAGAGTTGAGAGAGATTAGATGTGGAGGATTTGGACTGGGAAGAGTTGACATACCATTGAGGATCGGTGCTTCATCCTCTACTGTACCAGTAATGGATAACACTGTCGGAACCACCTGATTACGTGCGAGGAAGTCAGGTAAAACCAGCATTTGAATATGCGCAAACTCCTTGTTGAGGCTGTGCAAAACAGAGAATAATGGTCAAATTTTTTTTCTGTGGTTAGTATGGAATTGGCATATAAGTACATAAGGTCTAGACAAGCTGTGCAATGAGGTAGAAGGTGATGCCTCCACTGACATAGAGGGTGAATGAATCTGATCAGAATTGCAAGTTTTATTAAAATTTGAAATCTAGATAGGGTTTTATAGAATATTCATCTTTTTCAAATGACATCCAAACCATCACTCAATTGAAGCGTGTAGCTTACACACACAACATGCTGCTATTCTCATCTTTTACCAAACTTGCAGTGTGTAGCTTTTAATTTATATCATCTTCTAACAACATTTTTATTTTATTTATATTAGATATGGAAGCAACTTAAAAGAAATAGAGAGGGAGTAAATCACAAGCTGGCATGTATCGACCACCATCATTGCATGCATTATTTGAAGGCTCGGAAGAAGCAAGTACACACGTAAGGGCAACACCGCGTAATGAAATCTCTAAGCTAGGCAATTGGTGGATACTGATTCTGAGCGTACTGTTCTTTATCAGACATTCATCCTTCCTTCCTTCCTTCATTCCTTGTTACTTTATTTGTCAAACATGACACTATTTTTTGTCTGTAAATAATTTTGATGTTTAAATATAGTCATTTTTTAAATTTAGTATGTATATTTAATTTGATAAGTGCGCTCATTCTTAGTACTTTTTTTATGTGTGCAGTTAATATCAAACTCATAAGATTTCATATTAATTGGAAGCTAAGTATGTCCTATTATTTGATTTCTTTGTGTTGTTTAGGTGATTTGGAGGCATTGGTTGTAACAACATATAAATTGGAGCTCAATTGTATGTGTTTTGAAGTCATCTTGGCACAAAGGCATGTTCCGGGAGTCATGAGAGGTCAAGAAAGTTAAAAATAGCTAGTTGAAAGTATCATAACATAACTCGGGGACCTAAAGGAGCAAAAGAGATGAAGAAACATGCATTTTGTAGTGAAGAACATGGGTCACGCTGACATTCACACTGTGACTACATTATACTTTACACTTTTCTTTAGCAGGCGACGTCTCAGTATTTTTAGTATACCTCGAGCTTCAAATGGCATTGGAACAGCAACTCAAAAAGCTACAACTTTCATGGAGAATTTGGGGCTAAAGCTTCTTAAGTCTGATCATTGAACCTTCTATTGTCTTTGAAATTGGGTGAGGATTGAGGTGGAACAAAAGTTAGTTATAATAAGAGTAGCGTGTCCCATGCAAAAGATGAATTTGAAGAGGAATCAGATGATCGAGTGGAAGCAGCCAAGTGTTAAACCTCCTCGCCATTTTTTTGACGAGACACTTTTGGTGTCAGCTGATTTGGTAACTTCCTTGTCATGTCGTTTGAGCTTTCAGTTGTGTTTAAACTTTAAATAGTGTTAGTTGCTGCAATTTATGAATTGGTTAGGTTCAATCTGAATAACATTTTCCTGGATTCATGAGGCTTTGTGACTCTTATCGCTCTGTTTCATTTTCTTGAGCCAATAGCTTTTTGATAATAAGATAGAGTAGATGAAGTTATTGCTTGTGTAGGTAAGTAAGCCTGTATTTCTCCACATGAAAAAGAAGTTAAAGAACTGCAAGAATGACCAAATGATTGGTCACCTTCTGGGACAGGATTTAGTTCAATTATACAAGATGATAAGCATGGTTCAGTCCAAATACTTGAGGGAAATCTTGCAAATTCTGGAATTATGTGGAAAATCTTAAAGAGTTTACTTTTCCTGTTATTGATTGCGAGAATTAGCAGTTATAGTCTGGATTGTTCTTCTGTTTTCTCTTTTTTTTTCCTTTACCCTAATGGCGGTCAATCGACTCTGAATAACCAAGTGGCTAATTTTTTCAATTCTTATCAGGCCTTTTCAAGGATTTCGGTGTTGACATCAAGGAGATAGAAGGAAAGCCGAGCTTTCTACCTGTATTTAGATCTGGAAGTTGTGCTGAGATGGGACCCGAGCAGTACATGGAGGATGAACACATTCGAATAGATAATGTAGCTGATCGAGTATTTGGGAGACTCTGCCAGTTTTGGTTCTCCAGGAGCTTTCTATGGGGTGTGTATCTTAGATGCACATGAATTCTTTGAAGGGCTTGCATATATATATAGAATTTTGATAGTTGATCATTAAATTCTATTTTCCATTATTAATAAAGACAGACATGAGTGTGATTTCTAATTTTCTGTGTTCTCTGCACTACTTTTGATGGGTTACGACATCATAATACTTCTACTAGAGCTTTACTTCTCTATAATATACATTTAGTGTCTGCAGAAGGTTAATGAGATATTGGTTTCGTTCATTTATTGGAAGGTTTTTGATGGGCATGGTGGAACGGATGCAGCATCTTTTGTTAGGAATAATATTCTCAAGTCTATAAAAAAGGACTCTTATTTTCCTATCTGCATGGAAAAGGCAATGAAGAATGTTTTTTTGAAAGCTAATTATGCCTTTGTTGATGATAGCTCCGTTGATACATTCTCTGGCACAACAGCACTCACTGCTCTCTTATGTGAACGGTTAGTTAGTTAGTCTGCATATTCTTACCTTTTTTTTTTAAAAAAAAATTGTTTAAATCTTTCATAAGATTGGATGACTGCAATACCTTCTATCTTTACTTTTTCATTATAAGGAAAATATTTGCTTTTGTTTGCCATGTGTATTTCATTGTTGAAAAATTGGAGAATTCACATGTTTCATTCACATACTTTGGTGTCTCTTTTGGACTTTCTGTTTTCATTGTGAAAAGTATGATACATCATAAAAATATTTTAAATGGTTTGTCTCAACGTGCGAATCTAATGGTTTGTCTCTCCTATTATTACTCTATAGACTATCTTCTGATGGCCTGGCAATTAGAAGTCTGTTGCACTTTTCATTTTTGTATAGGAAAATTTGTAAATACTAAAGTCAAATGTGGAAATGGGCAGAACCTTTTTCTGATGAGGTTAGGAGCAGGTGCAAACACTTGGTCTGAAGAGCAAGAACACTTGGTCTGAAGAGCAAGATGTTCATCTCTTAAGAGCACGGTGCTCATCTCTTAAGAGCACGATGCTCATCTCTGAAGAGCATGATGCTCATTTCGGAAGAGCAAGAGAAAGAGCAAGATGCTCATTTCGGAAGAGCAGGAGAAAGAGCAAGATGAAGTTGCAGGAGATGGTTTGCTATAAATAGGCAACTCCTCTTCATCCAATCTCATCCCATTCCATCAGGAATTCTCTCATTAGCATAGCAAAAATATAGAGACTAAAATAGAGAGTTATATTGTAATTCCTATTGTAATATCCTTTTGCCAATACAGAAAATCCTTCTTCAAATTGCCTTTATTTTGTGTATGATTTATTTAAATCTTACACTAGAAATATTCTCATTATTTCCGGTCCGAATTGCCGCTGTATTTTGGTGTTGTGAACCGTATCGATCCTAACAAGTGGTATCAGAGCCCCAGGTTGGTTCAGAGATATATCTGTACTGTATCGTTTATGTTAGAACTCATACTGGTAAAGTGATTGTACATGTCTAGGAAAAGATCTGGTTAAGACTTGGTATTTAAGCAGTCCATTTGTGACTCACCTCTCTTCTCTAGAAATATTTTCCTGGTGTACTGTTCATAGGACCGGTAGTTTTCTATTATACGATACTATTTAGATATATTGTTCAGGATCAAGAACACCACTTACAATGACGACAAAGTACGAGATTGAAAAGTTCAATGGGAACAGTTTCTCGTTGTGGAAGATGAGAATGAAAGCAGTTCTCAGGAAAGATAACTGTGTTGCAGCAATTGAAGAAAGACCAGCCGATTTCACTGACGATGCCAAGTGGACAGAAATGGATAGCAACGCTATTGCCGATCTGCACTTAGCACTTGCTGATGAAGTTTTGTCAAGTGTGGCGGAAAAATGTACGGCAAAAGAGATATGGGATACTCTCGTAAATTTGTATGAGGCCAAATCACTGCACAACAAGATCTTCTTGAAGAGGAAGCTATACACTCTCAGGATGATGGAGACATCCTCAGTAACTGAGCACATCAACACTCTTAACACTCTATTTTCACAACTCTCGGCGTTGAGTTATAAAATAGATGTGAATGAACGTGCTGAAATTTTACTCCAAAGTCTACCAGATTCATACAATCAACTCATTATCAATCTAGTCAACAATAAGGAGGTACTTGTCTTCGATGACATTGCAGCTGCGGTTCTTCAAGAAGAAAGTCGGCGCAAAAACAAAGAAGATAAAGTTGGAACCTCACAACAGTCTCAGGCGTTGACAGTGATAAGAGGAAGATCAACGGAGCCTGGCTCCAGTGGGAGTCACAACCGAGGTAGATCAAAGTCAAGGGGTAAGAAGAATGTCAAGTGTTTTCACTGTGGCAAAAAGGGGCACTTCAAGAGTGAGTGTTGGCAGCTCAAGAAGGATGGGGCTAGAGGCAAAAATCCCGAGACATCAAATGCTCAGGGATGTGTTGTGAGTACATCGGATGGAGGCGATGTTTTAATTGGTGAAGCAGCAACAATTGTTGAAGGCAGGAAAAGTCTAGTTGATGTTTGGCTCATGGACTCCGGAGCAACATGGCATATGACTTCACGAAGAGAATGGTTTCATGAATATGAACCTGTCTCTGGAGGATCAGTCTTCATGGGAGATGATCATGCCTTAGAGATTGCTGGCATTGGTACTATCAAACTAAAAATGTTTGATGGTACGGTTCGCACTATCCAAGAGGTACGACACGTGAAAGGCCTGAAGAAAAATCTATTGTCTTTAGGACAATTAGATAGCCGTGAATGTAAAATTCACATTCAGGATGGGATCATCAAAATAATCAAGGGCGCGCTTGTTGTGATGAAAGCTGAAAAGATAGCGGCCAATCTATACATGCTTAAAGGAGAAACACAACTACAAGGAGAAGCAGCCGTTGCATCAGACAATCTTATAGAGGAATCAACGATGATGTGGCATCAAAAACTTAGCCACATGTCGGAACGAGGTCTAAAGATTCTTGCTAATCAACATCTTCTTCCAGGGTTAAAAAAGGTTTCATTACCTTTTTGTGAGCATTGTGTTACAAGTAAGCAGCATAGATTGAAGTTTGAGAGCTCTAAAGCAAGGAGCAAGGCTATCTTGGAGCTAATCCACTCCGATGTTTGGCAAGCACCAGTTATATCCCTGGGAGGTGCAAAGTATTTTGTATCCTTCATAGACGATTATTCGAGGAGATGTTGGGTGTATCCAATCAAGCGGAAGGCGGATGTATTTGAAGTTTTCAAATTCTTCAAAGCGCGTGTGGAACTTGAATCCGAGAAACGGATCAAGTGTTTGAGGTCGGATAATGGAGGAGAATATACTAGTGATGAGTTTGATAAATTCTGTCTACAAGAAGGTATCAAACGGCAGTTCACGGTGGCGTATACTCCACAACAAAATGGAGTGGCAGAGCGGATGAACAGAACCTTGTTAGAAAGAACAAGAGCAATGTTGAGGACTGCAAATTTGGCAAATTCATTTTGGGCTGAAGCAGTCAAGACCGCCTGTTATGTGATCAATCGGTCACCATCAACCGCAATTGATCTGAAAACGCCAATGGAGATGTGGACGGGTAAGCCAAGTAGTTATTCTCACTTACATACATTTGGGAGTCCGGCATATGTGGTATACAACGCTCAAGAAACATCAAAACTTGATCCAAAGTCAAGAAGATGCGTTTTCTTGGGATATGCTGATGGAGTGAAGGGGTATCGCCTGTGGGATCCCACTGCCCACAAGGTTATCATCAGCAGGGATGTTCTATTTGTAGAAGGGAAGGTACAAGAAGGTGAAAGCACTGGAAAGGAGAAACCAGTGACAACAACAGTACAAGTTGAGGGAAGGAAGGAAGAAGAAATTCCAGTTTCCCCTGAAACGGCAATAGAGCATGATGAATAAGATCAAGCTGAGTCTTCAACTTCAGAAGTTCGACGATCAACTCGGGAGAGGAGAGAACCAGCTTGGCACTCAGATTATTCCATGGAGGGAAATGTTGCATACTGTCTACTAACAGAAGATGGTGAGCCATTAACTTACCATGAAGCTATAAAAGGTCCAGATGCATCTCTGTGGATGACAGCAATGCAAGAAGAAATCGATGATCTCCATAAGAATAAAACATGGGAACTTGTCCCGTTACCACGAGGAAGGAAGGCTATTGGAAACAAATGGGTCTATAAGATCAAACGCGATAGCAACAATCAAGTGGAACGGTATCGTGCTCGATTAGTTGTGAAAGGATTTGCTCAAAAGGAAGGAGTTGATTTCAACGAGATATTTTCTCCTGTTGTACGACTTACAACGATTCGAGCAGTCCTAGCGATGTGTGCTGTGTTTGACTTGTATCTTGAGCAGTTGGATGTGAAAACTGCGTTTCTACATGGAGAACTTGAAGAAGAGATTTACATGCTCCAACCAGAAGGTTTTGAAGAAGAAGGGAACTTGGTTTGCAGGTTGACCAAATCTCTATATGGTCTCAAACAGGCGCCGAGATGTTGGTATAAGAGATTTGATTCATTCATTCTGAGCCTTGGATACAACAGGTTTAATTCTGATCCTTGCGCATATTGCAAGAGATTTGATGATAATCAGTTTATCATCTTGCTGTTGTATGTTGACGACATGTTGGTAGTAGGCCCCAACAATGATCGTATCACGGAGATGAAGGCTCAACTGGCTAGGGAATTTGAAATGAAGGACTTAGGACCAGCAAACAAGATTCTAGGGATGCAAATTCACCGAGACAGAAATAATAGGAAGATTTGGCTTTCTCAGCAGAATTATTTGCAGAAAATCTTGCGGCGCTTCAACATGCAAGATTGTAAGCCAATTTCTACCCCTCTTTCTATTAATTTCAAGTTATCCTCAAGTATGAGTCCTAGCAACGAAGCAGAGAGGATGGAGATGTCTCGAGTACCGTATGCATCAGCAGTGGGCAGTTTAATGTTTGCTATGATCTGCACTAGACCAGACATTGCACAAGCAGTGGGAGCGGTCAGTCGATACATGGCAAATCCTGGTAGAGAGCATTGGAGTGCTGTGAAGAGGATCCTTAGATATATCAAGGGTACCTCAGATATTGCATTGTGTTATGGAGGATCAGACTTCATCATTAGAGGCTATGTTGATTCAGATTATGCAGGTAATCTTGATTGTAGCAAATCCACCACGGGTTATGTGTTTACTCTTGCTGGCGGAGCAGTAAGCTGGGTCTCGAAGTTGCAGTCTGTTGTGGCAACATCGACGACGGAAGCAGAATATATAGCTGCTACTCAAGCTAGTAAAGAGACTATATGGTTGCAAATGCTATTGGAGGAGCTCGGGCACAAATTAGAGAAAATGACTCTATTTTGTGACAGTCAGAGCGCTTTGTACTTGACAAAGAATCCAGCATTTCATTCCAAGACGAAACACATACGGGTCCAATTTCACTTTGTTCGTGAAAAGGTGGAAGAAGGGAGTGTGGATATACAGAAAATCCATACTAAAGATAACCTGGCAGATATGTTAACAAAGCCGGTTACCAACGATAAATTCGTATGGTGTAGATCCTCAATTGGCCTAACAAGTATGCAAGCAGCACGGAATTGGCAGAAAGGATGAAGGTCCACATTGTGACTTTAAGTGGGAGATTTGTAAATACTAAAGTCAAATGTGGAAATGGGCAGAACCTTTTTCTGATGAGGTTAGGAGCAGGAGCAAACACTTGGTCTGAAGAGCAAGAACACTTGGTCTGAAGAGCAAGATGTTCATCTCTTAAGAGCACGGTGCTCATCTCTTAAGAGCACGATGCTCATCTCTGAAGAGCATGATGCTCATTTCGGAAGAGCAAGAGAAAGAGCAAGATGCTCATTTCGGAAGAGCAGGAGAAAGAGCAAGATGAAGTTGCAGGAGATGGTTTGCTATAAATAGGCAACTCCTCTTCATCCAATCTCATCCCATTCCATCAGGAATTCTCTCATTAGCATAGCAAAAATATAGAGACTAAAATAGAGAGTTATATTGTAATTCCTATTGTAATATCCTTTTGCCAATACAGAAAATCCTTCTTCAAATTGCCTTTATTTTGTGTATGATTTATTTAAATCTTACACTAGAAATATTCTCATTATTTCCGGTCCGAATTGCCGCTGTATTTTGGTGTTGTGAACCGTATCGATCCTAACAAAATTTATGCAGAATTTCCCATACTCTTGGAGCTAACACAGAGAAGAACAAGTTTACTGTGGCATTTGAAATAATTTATTGAAGTATGTATTGATTATTGCAAGTTTGCCTTTTCTTTTTCATCCTCTGTTAGTTTATTAACATTTTAATTCTTGATAGGGTTTAATAGAATATTCTTCTTTTTCGAATGACATCCAAACATCACTCAATTGAAATGTGTAGCATACACACAGAATATTCTAAGCTGTTCACATTACACAACATGCTGCTATTTTGATCTTTTACCAAACTTGCAATGTGTATCATCTTCTAACAACGTTTCTATTTAATTTATATAGATATGGCAGCAGCTTAAAAGAAATAGAGGGACTAAATCACAAGCTGGCATGTATAAAAAACATAAGGGCAACACCGCGTAATGAAGTCCCTAGGCAATTGGTGAGCCAATACCTTTTTGATAATATGATGGACTACATGAAGTTATTGCTTGTATAGGTAAGTAAGCCTGTATTTCTTCATCAAGGGCTAATTTTTTCAATTCTTATCGTTTTCAAGGATTTCGGTGTTGACATCAAGGAGATAGAAGGAAAGCCAAGCTTTCTACCTATATTTAGATCTGGAAGCTGTGCTGAGATGGGACCCAAGCAGTACATGGAGGATGAACGGATGCAGCATCGTTTTTTAGGAATAATATTCTCAAGTTTATAACCGAGGACTCTTATTTTCCTATCTGCTTGGAAAAGGCAATGAAGAACGCTTTTTCGAAATCTGATTATGCCTTTGTTAATGATAGCTCTGTTGATACATCCTTTGGCACAATAGCACTCACTGCTCTCTTATGTGAACAGTTAGTTAGTCTTTACTTTAATATTTCATTATTCTTTACTTGATCAAAAGGAAAGGAACAATGATAATAATATACTACTCGTTACAGAAAATCGGTAATTGCGAATGCTAGGGATTGTCGTACTGTTTTGGGGAAACGAAGGAGAGCCATTGAGCTATCCAATGACCATAAACCAGATAGCAAGTCTGAGAGACATAGGATTGAAAAACTCGGAGGTGTCATCTATAATGGATACTTAAACGGCCAACTATCTGTAGCGCGGCCCTTGGGAGACTGGCATATGAAGGCTCTAAAGGGCTCCGCCTGCCCCTTGAGTGCCGAGCCGGAGTTGCAAGAGATTATATTGACAGATGACGATGAGTTCCTAATCATGGGGTGCGATGGTCTTTGGGATGTGATGAGTAGCCAGTGTGCTGTGACAATGGCCAAGAAGGAATTGATGATGCACAACGACCCCGAGAAGTGTTCAAGAGAGCTAGTTAAAGAAGCCCTCAAGAGCAACACTTGTGACAACTTGACAGTAATCGTGGTTTGTTTTTCCCTCGATCCTCGGCTTCAGACAGAAACGCCTCAAACACGAGTCAGGCAGAGCGCATCAACGTAACGGAAATATCCATCTTCTAAAAGGCATATTAGAAAGCAACTCATGACAACACTTTGGACAAAGCGGAAGAAAGCCAGCAAAGACCACTGCCATGGAACACAGATCAGATCCCCGATCAATGGATCGGAGGAGGTTTTCACCCCCTATGAGGCACCGGCAGTGCTGCTGCCATGATGCAAAGTTCCACACTATGATTGTTTGAGTAGTTTCCTGTATTGGGATTTCTTGTATCTATTGAATCAATTTGGTACTTTTCTTCTTTATGTACAGATTTTCCACTGTATGATTGTTTGAGTAGTTTCCTGTATTGGGATTTCTTGTATCTATTGAATCAATTTGGTACTTTTCTTCTTTATGTACAGATTCATAAACATATGATTTCTTCATCAGTTATGCAGTTCAGTTCAATGATTTGTCTCACTTCTACTCTGCATGGATCTGGTATCATTTTAGTGGATAGTAAATTGTAACTCAAAGGATGTGTAAGGCTGTGATTTTTTATTTTTTATTTTTTATTTTTTATTTATTTTTTAATTTTAATTTCGGCATGTAGGTTTAGGCAGGGGTGGTATGGTAAATATATGTTAGTTTTAATCTTTTTAATATTCCTGTGATTTTGGAGAATGAATTTATTTTATTTTAAATCTTGTTATTATTTTATGATGATGATGATGTTATGCTTGATTTTGATAAAATTGGACTTTATTACTCATGTACTTCTTTTTTTTTTTTTTTTTTTTCTACATAAACGGGAATATTTACGCTGGAATTTGAAGGATAATCTCGTATCGAAAGGAGCGAGAGACATTCGGGGGATAAGAACTTTGGTTCCTTCATGTGTCCCATTAACTATTCTTGCTTCGACAATATGATCTACCAATCTTGTGATGATGGTTCGCGTCTCGTTACAAACACCAAGAGAGTGGTCTACCTATGTTCCGCAATAACATAACAGGTGCAACGACCTTTAATGTCAATGAATGATTATAAAGACCCGACAATCTCATACTATTTAAGAATCCAGGAGTGTGTACTTCTAATAGATTTTCACCGTCTGATTCTGCTTTACACAAAGAGTCACAACTTAAATATATTCGTCCTTCTGCAGTATTCATGTCGCACATGTACTGATTAATTATTTTGATAACTGATTCATTGGAATTTCCTTCACTCTCAGAACTAGATTATATTTGAGTAGACGAGGAGGTTCGAGAGTTTACCTCATCATCGTTGGCCATCAGACATAGATCATTTTCATCTTCCTCTCGGTTAAACAAACACATGAGTCCCTTTTTAGCTTCTGAACTTTCGCTATCTGAGCTGGAGCTTGATGTGCTCTCTTCGGGTTCAGCCACTTTACGACCATTGATTTCCTTCTTCTCTTGTGTCGTGACTGATTGGACTCTTGTCGTGTGTTTCCTCTTTTCGATTCGGGTGCATCCTTTCTTCCGGTTGGAGAGCTTCTGCTGGATTCCTTGTCCTAGTATTTGCGGACAATGGGATGGGGACAGTTTTCCTTGAAGTTTCCCGGCTTTCTGCAATTGTAGCATAGCACTTGATCTTAGCTTCCTCCGTCTCCATTTTCTTGGGATAGGACAATCTTTCTGCTTGCCTTCGGTTTGAGGAACTTGGGAATGTTTGCAGCTCTTAAAAGTTGTTCTTTCTTATGAACCTTTTAAACTTTCGCACAAATAAAGCAAACTGTTCGTCAGATAAAAATTCAGATGGGTTAGAAGTTGACCTACTTGAAGTAGAAGTTTGTTGACTAGCTGCAAGCGCGTTATTTCTGGTTTCTGGTTCTTCAATTTCCTTGGGCTCATTCTCGAACTAATAAGCTTTGAGGTCGCTGATGATTTTAATCGTTTGAGTGGATTTCAGATCTCGATGATCTCTCATAGCGGTCACTTTCATGTCCCATGCTTTCGGTAATCCACGAAGAATCTTCAGGTTGATCTCCTTCTGAGTTGGTTCTTTGCCAAGGTCAGAGATGTCTACAAGAAGCTTTAGTAAACCGAAACTCCATTTCGGCGATTGTTTCATTTGGAAGCATCTTGAAGTCTTCAAATCTCATCATGGAAATGGTTAGCTTGTTGTCCTTTTCCTGTTCACTCCCTCACCTAGATTCATGAGGGTATCCAATATCTCTTTGGTTGTTTTACACTTTCTCACTCTTGGAAACAATGAATCGTCCAGAGACTTATATAGGATGTCACGCACAACGTTGTTAAGGTTTGCTCTCGTCTTCTCTTCTGAAGTAAGCTGAGAGTTAGGTTCCGGAATCATCACTTGAGGATCCGGTCCTTGAGCTGCTGCTTGCGTGTTCACCATTGTTCTCACAATGGGTCCATCTTCAATGACATCTCACATCTCATCATGCATGGCCGAAAGATGTGCCTGCATTCTCAGTTTCCAGTCATCAAACTTAGATAAGTTGAAAGCAAGAGGTCTAGACCTATTTCCATGATTTTTTCCATTTTTATAAAAATGTGCAAAGATCAAAATTGAGATTTTAAGATTTTTGAGAAGGGTTCTACTAGGCAGTAAATGCAAAGCGTTTACTGTTCAATGCAACTGCTCTGGTACCACTTGTTGGTCCCGGTAGGGTCGAAAGATAGTCTAGAAAGGGGGGGGGGGGGGTGAATAAACTATACTCGAATTTAAGAAACAATTCCTTTCGAAAGTTATACGCAGCGGAAAAATGTATGTTTGTTTTAAATTAAAGTTTGCACAATTTGATTATGGAAATCTTAGGGTTTAGTTAATATGAATGCAATGCCAGATAGATAGTTAAGCAAAATTAATGAGAGAGTGAGAGAGAGATTTTTATAGTGGTTCAGCTGTTAACAAAGCCTACTCCACTCTTCTTTCACAACTCGTGAAAGGGTTTGCACTATCACTCCTAGTACAAACTAAACAAGCTAGTTTCCTTAATCACTAAGCCGGACAGCTACTTGTGTAGGTTTTTCAACTCCTCGAGTTTACTCCGCCTCTATCAACTTCTTCTTCAGAATTGAGGGCTGGAAAGAATTGATGTTGTTCTCCAACTCGTGAAATCTTCGATTACAAAATGCAAGATTTCTCTGTGTTGTAAAGCTTGAAGACTAGATGATCTCTCTTTTTAAAACACTTCACAATAGCACACTAGTTTGAAAGCATGTAGGATGGCACTTTAACAAAAGCTTTTGTAGATAGAGATTGAGTGAAAAACCAGCACATTCTTCAGTGGTGAAGAGGGGTATTTATAGGTGAGGAAAAATTCATCCGTTGGAGGTAGATGAAAATTCAAACCTATTAACCAGTGTGTAATAACCACTGGCATGAAACATTTAATTCGGCTGTACTGTGTAGCCGTTGGTGGCAAAAGTTGCGTGTCCTTTTGTCCTTTTTCACTGACAAGGGTACTAATCATTTAATGCTTCTTGGTTTTTGTGAATATCATTCCTAGGACTCCATTTGTCTAGCATGATTGCCCAGCTTTGAGACATAGACAAGTGATAGGGATATACGCCCGGGCTCCAGGCGTATGGCGGTCGGTAGCTGCCCGGCCGTCCTACTAGGGCCCAGCAACCCGACCCGACCGTCCGGAACCGGGGACCGACTGAACCGCCCGAAGACCGTGCACTTGGCAGACCGACCCACCGGTCCCCATCGGTCGGTGTCCGGTCGTATGGGCGCCTCTGAACTGAAAGGGAGTCAGATCCTAAGCGCCGCGTGGCGGGCAGTCACACGGCCTGCGGTGGCGCCCGGTGCATGTTTGCCACGTGTAGGCCATGCCGGAAGCCCGGAGGTACCTACTTTTGGGCCCTATAAATAGCGCATTAAATGCATCGTGAAAGGGACTTTT